GCGGAGATGCATTTGTAAAGACAATAGCATACCTCTGTATGTGGAGAGCGCTGCACTTTGCATTACCTACACAGATTCACGCATTAACGGCAATCAGCGGAAAGTCGGAGGTAACATCGTGTTACCTCATCGATGTTGAAATATATTACACCTAAGAAATGACAACATATATATTATGAAAAGCAAAAATAATACAATTAGCAGATCGGTTCTTAGGAAAAATCAGTGATATTATATAAATATTAAAACGAAACAATTACATGAAAAAATATGTAAAAAAAAAAAAAAAAATAAATCAAAATAATTGTAACAAATGAAAAAATTTTGTAGATTAATTCAATATAAAATTTTATAATTCAAAAATATTTTTAAGAAAGTGAATTACTAATACTTTATTATTAATTTATTACTGAAATTGAAGAACATAGATATTCTTTCAATATAAATTGTGCTATTTATGTAATAATGTAATGTAATTTTTTTCGGAAACAATATATTCCTGTTTCTCTGTAACACTTATTCGTACTTATGTCTTGCTTTATTAAAAATATCATTTATATGAAAAAAATCTGGCAATTAATTTTTGAAAACAGATAATTATTTTACAAATTATACTATTTTACATTATTCAATTGTGATTATAACACAAAGTAGCTTACATAGTAATATATACGAACATACACACGAATCACCTGCGATTAAATCCTTCCGAGGACTTCGCTCTCATGAGTTCTCATACCCCAGTTTTCTGCCAGCAATCGTCAGTACGAGCACTGATCGCGTTTCTCTGTTGCAAAATTCATGCACGATTCTCAATTTAGTTAAAAAGTGTTTGACCTATTTAAAATATATAATAATAATTTACGGAAAATCAAAAAAGCAGTATAGAAAATAAAATCGATCGAAAATTGAAAAATCGATAGTGACAAATGTCAGAACTATCAGGAAAAGTTGAAGATCCGGTGTGTAATTAAAGATAAAGAATAGAAATAATTGTAAAAAAAAAATGTGAAGAAAAAAAAAGAATATAACAATAATGTATTATTTTCATAATTTAAATGCTTTAGACTAAATGATATTTTAAAAATATAAAAAAATGAAAAAGAAATGAAAATCGATATTACTATAGAGAATTATAGAGAATTATAGTATAATCTTGAGAATTATCGAAATTATAATTTCACTAATTAATTTTTCGTATCGTTTATTTCTAATTTTTGTTTATTGATATATATATTGATATCAATTTGATATCGTGAACATATATATTTATTTTATTGGAATATTTCTGAAATTAATATTAGAAATTAATAATTATTTGCGATAATAATATAATATAATTACTGAACTGTTATAAATATATATTACATACATCTCGACATAAAATAAAATAAAATTTAGGAATTTATTCAAATAAAAAAAGGAATTTACTGTAAATTATTCAAATAAAATTTAGAAAATAAAACTGTTTTTTAAACATCAGATTTCAATGGTGTGCTGCAGGATGATAGAAGCTACCGTTCCGATGATTCTAACGGTGAAATCTTTAAGAATGTTCCAAAGAACAGCAGCACGTTTCGCATTTGGAAAATCGAGGTAACATAAAAAGAAAAAATAATATAATTTATTATATTTTGGTATATTAGAAAAAAATATATATATATGTATAAGCTATTGATTTTAAATCGAATATCTGAATTATTTCTGAATTATTAATATCAAGAAAAAAAAATAACAAAATAATTTGTAAAAAAAAAATATAATGATCTTAAAAAAATTATCAAAATAATCTTCATATCATCTTTATGATATTATTTTATCACTAAATGCATGTTTCAAAATCATTTATAATTTTTTTTTTTCACTTTTAGTACTAATAAAAATATTCAATTTAAAATTAACATTCTGTAAAGTCATCTTGTTTTGAATTAGAATGTTTTTCTCGAAAAACACAAAGAGTAAAAGTACAAAATAACAAATTTAATATCCGTGAAACAGGGCTTACGAATCACAGCCGTTACAGGAAATAATATGGGATATTTTCTTTCGGAATTGGCATATATTATTTACGCAGTATCGCCAAAAGACGGTCCACTACCTTATCCTGGAATGCCGGTATGATTATTTCTCTATTATTATTTCTTTTTTCTTTATACAATAATATTATATAAATATTAACATTTTAAAAAGAAAAAAATATTTCTTCAAATAAATTAAATTAATATATTTTTAATTATAAAGTATATTTTTATATCATTTAAATAGAGCAAGGAATTAAAATCAACTGCAATAGTCCGTGTAATTCATTTTTGGATCGGATCTGCATGCGATTCAACTATTTCTGGAGCAGCCGCCCTTCGAGCAGCCGAATTGGACTCACAAGTATCTGCCACAATTCTGTCGAGAGAGGCACAAGGACGAGAAAGTCCTAGATTTCTGGCTTATTTTCGCCAATATCTTATTATCGAAAATTTTCATTTCGAAACACCATCATGTAGATTGCATAGAGTAACTGGCATAACAATTCCTATCTTAACAGAACTTGGGAAAGTCCATTGGGATTATTTCAGTTCAAGAGATGTTATCATTGTGGACGTTTTATCACAGTACGTAAAAAATTGAAAATTTTCTATAATAATTTTATTATTAATCATTTTTATCATGGTATAATAATAATATAAAAATAATAAAATACAGGAATATTGTATTCCTTTGGTTGGGATCATCATCGGATCCATTGCATAAACGACATGCAGTCAATATCTTAGAAATGAGAAAAAAAAATAATAATGGTCGTATCATCATTGTTGATGATGGTTATGAACAGACTCTATTAGAAGAAGATAGACAATTATTTGCTAATATTTTAGATCCTTCTACAAGAATTGTTAAACCTGATCGCCTTTATCGAGTCAATATGCCAAGTCCAATCAAACTATACAAATGCAGTGAACAATCTGGTAAATACAAAGTCGCGGAATTGAAATCTGGACCGATTCTTCGATCAGATCTCACATCAGAAGCCGTTTATTTGATTGATCGAGGTGAAGCTGGTGTTTGGGCCTGGGTAGGAAGTAATGTGAATGCTCGAGAAAAATTAGAAACGATCCGCAATGCACGTGGATTTGGAAAGAAAAAAAATTATAGTAATGGTATATTAGTTGGAAGAGCGCTTGAAACTTATGAACCAACAGAAATGAAGGTTCTTGTTAGAGGATGGAGCACGACAAAAATAAGACCGCTTACTTTACCACCTAATTTTGATCCTGATTATATGAATGAAAGACCTAAAATGGCAACTGCTTGTCAATTAGTAGATGATGGATCTGGTGAAAGAACTCTTTGGAGAGTAACTCATAAGGAAGGAATGATTCAGATAGACGATAAAGGAATATACTATGCAGAAGCTTGTTACGTAATGTGTTACAAATATGGACAAGGACGTAGGAGTAGAACAATCGTATGTTAAAAATGTATTTCCATTATTATATTATATTTAATTATTAAATTTGAAATGATATAATACTACAGATTTATTGTTGGGAAGGAGTTCATTCTATAAATGCAGATCGAGAAGCTGTTTTAGAAGTAGCTTGTCATTTAGCAGAAAATACTGCTGGACAGCTAGTAAAAGCATATCAAGGAAGAGAACCACCTCATTTATTACAAATTTATGATGGAAAATTAAAAATACTAGCTGGAAGACATCGTGATTTTCGTAAGTAATAGAATAAATAAATTACAATTTTGTTCTAATTGAATTTTCCCTAATGTAACATTTATTTCTTAGCTCCAGAAAAATATCTTGTTAGAGTGTTTGGATCTACTTCATATACATCAAAAGCAGTTGAGCGTCCTCTTAGATCTAGTAGCCTTGATTCTAGCGGAGTTTTTATTCTATTTTCTAATTCACCTGTAGTATGGTGTGGTGGTAAAAGTACTGGCGATGCTAGACAAGCATCTAGACGCCTTGCACCTAGAAATGCACCTCTGATAACTGAAAATAATGAAAATAATGATTTTTGGACAGAACTTGGAGGTTAAAATAAAAGATCTTAAACACATCTTAAACAATTTCTAATTGTTTTAATATATTTTTATATTTATTTTTTTAATTTCTTTTAAAAATTTTATTTTTAAGGTAAAGGCACTTACGGTACAGAAGTTATTAATGACGAAGAAGAACTTGAAAAACATTTATACCAATGTTTAACAGACGCTGAAACATTTGTTGGTGAAGAAGTTCTCGGATTTGGTCAATGTAGTCTTCTTCCAGAAGCTGTTTGGTTGTTAGATGCTGGAAATGTAATATGGATTTGGATTGGAAAATCTTCTATTTCTAAATCATTAAAAGAATATGTACATGATGCAATGGTATTTTTGTTCACTCATCCTGCTGGTCGAGATCGAAATACAATAATTTCTATAATCAAACAAGGTATGATAAATTTATTTATAAAATGAAAAAATTTACTTTAGAAAAACAAATTTTATTTCATTTTTTTAGGATTGGAACCTTCAACATTTATTGGACTATTCAATAATTGGAATTATAATTTATTAAGAGAATACAAATCATTTGAAATATTTTGCACACTCTTACAAGATAAAAAATTATTACCGAAAATACAAACATTAACAAAATCATCGAGCGACTTTGATAATTATGTGAAGTATCCTCTTTCTATCCTGAAAGATGATCCGGAAAATTTACCATCTGGTGTTGATGTTGCTCATAAAGAAATGCATCTTACTTTCGATAATTTTATTGCAATTTTTAAAATGGAACCAAATGAATTTATAAAACTTCCTACTTGGAAAAGACAAAGACTAAAACAATCGGCAGGACTTTTTTAAAATTTCGTATTCTAATTTTTATTATGATTTTGTACCATAATTAATATAAAGTCAGAATAAAAAAAAAATATTCCTTATATATATTTACTTATTTCTGATGTTTGAAATTAAATTTATCAATTTAAAAAATATACAATTTCATATTTAAGTATTTTGATTAAGACTTTTTTATTGAAAATTCATATATATCCAAATGTAAATTTAACATTGTTTGATATACATTTTAAGATGAAGTATCCATTGGTTCTACTTCAATTCTACGCACAGTTTCCCCTTCGATAATTATAGGATGAACTATTTTATTAAGTACTGCAGTAGTACCACGCTTATATCGATACGATATATTTCGCTGTCCTTTAATATTAGCAACATCATAAGGTCGTAAATAATCAACAGAACCTTTACGTATAACACATAAATCTACATTAGACCCAGAAGCTAAATCATTAAATACACCAGCACGAATAGCATCTGCTACCAATTCTTTAGCCTCCTCTTCCTAGAAATATTTTAAAATTAAAATTAAAAACTTATACATTATAAATATATAAAAATATAAAACATTCTTACTGTCATATCAGGTTTCCATCTACTTTCAAATACAGCCATTGCAGCTAATGATCCTGTACCCATGCTAGTATACATATGTCTATCTGAAGATCCATGAGGATAAATACAATATAAATGTGGTCCATCTAAATCAACACCTCCTAATATTAAAGCTGCTCCAATATGACCTTGATAACGAAATAATAATTGCTTTATCATAGCATTTGCAGTACAAACTGGTACCATACGATTAGTATTTAAACGATGTAATTCTAATTGACTGGATATCATTTGAGTTGTCATTTCAGTATCAGCAGCAGTTCCAGCACCACAACAACTTAAAAAATAATTATTAGATTATTCTATTAATTATCAAATTATAATAATAAATAATATTATTTATATATATAGAATAATTAAAAATATTAATTTTTTAAAATATACTCACTACATATTTTCAGCAAGATAATGGATTTTACTACAATTTTTATCAGCTACTATAGTATTTTCTGTTGATCTTGTATCACCACCAAGAACAATCCCATCTTTATAAACAACTCCAGCAATTGTTGTTCCTGTTTTAACAGCTTTAGGTGCTTGAAATCCTTTCTTTATCAGAAAATTATTTCTGAAAGGAATATATTTAAATGAATTCCATAGTACTTCAAGTTTTTAGAAAACTTGTAAAATTAAAAAGAATTAAAAAGAAAAAATATTATTAAATAATGACGCAGCAATATTAACCTATGAGGTTATATGCATCAAAAATTACTTTTTATTCTTTTATTTTTATGCAAATATTAAAAATTTTATTAACATTGTAACTTTAATAAAATAGATTACCGTTGACAAAGATCAAAAGAAAATCCGGGCGCAGGAATTTCAGGTACAAGTACCGAAGACATGATATTCCAAAAACTTAAACTTCTAACACCATTAAAAGAAACGGAATAATGAAAAGCATTTCGTAAATGTTGACATTTACCAGCAGATGGCAGTTTTGAAGAAAAACAATACTGGTACTATATTTTTATATATATTCTTCTATTTTGTACATGTAATTTTTTTTATACAATTAAGTTATTATATCAATAAATATAATTAATAATTATTAAATTTATTAAAATATAAGAAAATGTTCATGAAATAAAATTTAAAACAAAAATGTAAGTTATTTAATTGTAAAAATTTAAAAAGATGCAACATTATGAGAAAATTAAAAACATATAAATTATCATATTTTTACATCAATAGTGTACAACATACAAATTATTTTAAACATATTAATTATAATATAAAAATATAATATAAAATTACATGCTACAATCTTGACAATCTATTTTGAAATATTCACTACTTGTTAAGTAAATGCAATATACTTTTTTAAGATTTATAAAAAATATAAAAAGACACCTAATTGTTTAAATAATATCTATAAACAAGTAATATCATTAATGATTTCTGCCATCATATTTTTATCTTGTAATGTTGCATCTAATTCTTCTTGATCCCACTCCAAATTTATTTTTGCCAAACGAGATTCTTTTTTTTTTATTAATTTTAAGATACCTCTGGTTTCTATCAATGAACATAAATTATAAAATTCAGATGCATCAACAGCGTGAATATTCCGTTTCTTACATACTTTTTTGTATACTTCATGCAACTGAAATATAATTATCACAATATTAAAATTTCTGATCAAATAATCATTTAAATTATATTATACTTACTCTTCCCACTGTTATGTCTTTATTTCGCCCTTTATTTAAAATAAGCAAGAGGGAACATAATAATAATTTTTGTTGTAAAGGAAATGTACTTTCTTCTTTTTCAATATTTTGAGATCCACCATAAACACCATTTAAGACTGTGATAACATCTTTTAAATCTACTGGTTGATCTATTGTAGTCTGTTGCTTTTTAGTCATATTTATCTCTAAAAAAATTTTTTTATAAAAAAAAAAATTAATTTTGTTTTTTTGTAAAAAATAGCATTTTATTTTTTTATTTTTATTTCACTTCTACATACCATTATATGGTTGTAAAATTTGTGCTAATTTATGAGATTCAGTAAGTTCTATTACTCTTCTACTGATATCTAATGCTCTTCTAATATCACCAGAAACAGCAGCAACTTTCCCAGATAACATATGTATTGCAGTTTTAGTGAATAAATCAGATGCTTTTGCTTCATTTAATCTTTCACATATTATATTATATATTTCTTGTTTTGTATATGGTGAAAAATGAATCAATGTTGGCTTTAATTCACATCTTGTTTGTAATCTAGGTAATATTCTATCTGTTAAGTCTAAAGCATTGGCAATACCAATTAAAATTAATTTTGAATTATTTATTGATGGCCATTCAAAAATAGAATATAAAACAGATTGTTTTTTACTTTCCAATTGATCTATTTCATCTAAAATTAGTAGCAACATTTTATGATTTGAAATTAAATATTTTTCAATAACTGCTTTACTGTTTCTTCCAGATTTTGATATAGATAAACCTAATTCTTGACTAATTTTTATATAAATTGTAGCAGCAGATTTCATAGTTGTACAATTAATATAAACTATATTAAATTTTGATTTGAATTCAACTTTTGATATGAGCTTTGAAAGACATGCTGTTTTTCCAGTACCAGGTGGTCCTGATACATACAAAGAACCTGATGTTTCATTTTTCAAATGTTTTTCTATAAATTCTTCTAACTTTTGTAATTCATTTTCTCTGCCAGGCAAACTTTGAGGTACTGAACTATGTAAAGCTTTACGAGCTTTACGATATATTTCTGATCCAAATAATCTTTTAGGACATAATTTTTCCTCCTTATTAGAAGAAGATAAATTTAATTTATCAAAAAGAGTAGAAGGTGTAGATGGAGATGTTAATGAAAATGATTTATCCACTCTTCTTTGTTTTGGAGGAGTAGAACCATTACCTTCTGAAAAAATATATTAAAAAATATATCATTTTTAATTTTATAAAATATATAATTATTAAAAATATTTAAAATATTTAAAAAATATTTATATAAAATTCATTTTTTTTTTTTACATACCATCAGATTCGGATTTTTTTATACATTGAGGAGTTTGTATACTAATTGTATTATCATGGACATTTATATTATTCTTTATTACATTTTCTATATCTGAATCTAAATCTGACTCTGATTCACTACTACTTAAAGTAATAACTTTTCTCACAGTTGGTGTATATTTATAAGAAGAATCTCTAATGGTTGCATTAGTAAAATCTTCTTTCATTACAGTATGTTTATTTCCATAAAACGAACATTTCTTTCGTACATTAAATGAAATTGTTGTTTGTATACTTGTCATTTTTAGTTATTTAAATTTCTGACACAATAAAATTTTCACACAATTTTTTTTTCTGTAAAACTAACACTTTCGTTTAATATAAAATATTTAACATTTAACATTATTCCTTAACCTTTTAAAAAGAAAAATAATTTTCTCAAAATTTGAATTAAATTCACATTCATTAATATTATTTTGTTAATTTCAATCCATAAAATAAATTTTTAAATTAAATATTTTATTAATTTATTAATAAAGCACTTTCAAAACTTTTAAATATTGTAGAATTAGTGCATCCTCAAGTTTTTTGCAGAAAAATACTTTAAACGCGGGAAAATAAAGATATATAAAAAGGAAACGGATAAACGTACATTCCCGCGTAAAAACAATTTAAAAATACAAAATATTATTTTTAAAAAATATATATAAGAAAAATATTATATTTATATAAATTTTAAGCTTAAATTAATTAAATGAAATAGTGATATATATATTATAAAATTGTTTATTTTAATTTATATTTTATTTCATATAAAATATCTGTACAAAGTTTCTTAGCCCTCTAGAGGCAAATATAGAAACTAAAGAATATAATGTTTCCATGATCTAAAGAAGCAAATGTTCCTCTTCCATACTGGCATTAAAGCGTAAAAGAAGTTGTCCGCATTCCATGAAAATCAAGAAATTCTAGATTAATCTAGAAATTTTAAAGCTATAAAATGAGAGCAAAGGTAAGATGATATTAATATTTTCTATTAATTTCAATATTTTTTCTAATAAATTTATGATTATCTGTTTTTAAAATCTTAAAATTTATTTTTTCCAAATTATCATTATACTATATTTATTTAATAAATTTTCAAAATATATTTATAATATAAAAAAGAAAAAAATTAATAAAATAAATAAGATATATATGTATAATTAGAAAATTTTTAATTTTCAGTGGCGAAAAAAAAGAATGCGCAGGCTAAAACGTAAAAGGAGGAAGATGCGTGCAAGGTCTAAATAAATTTTATACATAACCTCCGTAAGTATATATAATTTTAAAAATATTATTAATAAACATGAATTTATTTAAAAAAAAAAATTCCATGTTTCATGCGTAAATATCTATATTTCATTTCGTATAACACAAAATTTTTTTTTAAATAAATTTTAATTTTTGTTTCAGTTATAAGAGTAACATCAACCAGATTGGCATGAAAGAATTGTACTAATTGAATTATCGATACAAATAATTTTTGTTATTCAAAAATTCATTTGTGTATATTTCTTGTACAATTTAATAAAATAATCGTTTTAATAATTAAAAATCTTTTTTTTTTAACCTTATCTTTTTTCAAATAAGTAAATTAGTAATGATTAAATATAAAATTTGATGTACATGTACTTGAAGTCGAAATAATTTAAATCCAGTAACCTAATTTTATACGTATAAACTAACATGCGGACTCTATTATCAAATTTTTTACGAACAAAAAAATTATTTTATGAATATTCCAAGTTTTGTGCAAATAATATAATATGTTCTCAAATAAGACAAATAACAAAGTTCTCAAATAATAGTCAAAAACAATTTAACAATGATAAAAATGTAGAAAGTGATTCACATAACCTAATCGGCTCAATTAGTACTACTCATAAAATTTTTGAAGATAAAAATGCAGAAATTATCTTTGATGTTAGTGAAAGACAAGAAAAAGTTAATTTAGAAGATTTAATAATTGAAGAACATCATGATCCTTATAAAGGAATAAATTTAGAACGTAAGTGAAAATGAATTTATATACATACAATTTTTTTAATATTTAATTACTTTTTTTTATGAAATTATATTTATTATTATATTAATGAAATTATTTATCAGGTGGAAAAAATGGTGTTTTTGAAATAGAAGATCTTGTATCATTATTACAAAAAGATAATGTTAAAAATATTTTTGTTGCTTCAATGGCCTCTGAATTATCATATGCTGATTACATAGTTATAGTCACAGGTAGATCAAATAAGCATATGAAAGCACTTGCTTCTTTTGTTCGAAAAGTATATAAATTGAAAAAACATAAAACAGATATATTCGTAAAAATTGAAGGGAAAAATTCAAAAGATTGGATAGCTTTAGATCTAGGTATATTTTTTATTATGTTTCAGATAATTTATTATGTTCTTAGAATAATTAAATTAAATTATATTTCTTTTATCTTTAGGAAATATTATATTGCACATTTTTTCACATTCTGCTAGATTAGAATATGATTTAGAAACATTATGGTCAGTTGGACCTGATTATGATGATAAAAATAAAAATACTACTGAAGATATTATGGAACAATATAATGAATTTTTATCTGATTTAGAACCAATTGAAAATAATAATGAGAATGGAAAATGTGAAACATATAAAAAATGATAATTACAATAATTATATAAACAATATATATTATATTACCTTTATATATTATTTTTACTAAATCATTAAATATTATTTGCTTTAATCATAAAAATCATTTTTTATTAAATTCCACATAAAAATAAAAATATATATAATTTAAAACATAATTATCGTACAATAATTTTTAAAACGTATAAAAGATCAATGTCTCCTGCATAAGGCATTCCCCCTCTTCTTCCAACATTCCCTCTTCGCGCTTTATGATTATGCTTTCTGAAGTAATACACCATTCGCTACGCGTCCATATCTGAAGACGCTTTATCAGAAACTAGCGAGATGGAATCTTATCGAATTATCAATTTTATTTTATACGCTGACTAATAATTCCAGTATATACGCATTTATAGTTGCATGAAACAATTTGGTACATAGAATTTTAAATCTTGTATCGACAAATTGATTAGAATAATTTATTCTATTTAACATATTATCGACATTTGTACATTTGTATTATATAAAATAAAAAATTTTACAATAATTTAAATTTATCTGATTTTTTAGTAAAAGATTCATTTAAAAATTTCTGAAAAAGAATATTGTTGCTCTTATGTAAAAGTGCAATTAATTTTCAACTATCACATTTATGGTAATGTATATAAATTTTATAAATATTAAAAATTTTCATTTAAAAACAAATCATTTATCATTATTTGTACATTATTAATTGAAAATTTTTTTATAAGATAAGTAAAAAATAATTTAAAGTATTTTTTTTAATTTATTTTTTAATTTAATATTATTATAATAATATTATATTATAAAATTTTATATTACAACTAATTATATAAATTTTATTTCAAGGTATATAATCAACAGTATTAAGAGATACATAAAAAGAAAAAAAATATGAATAAATAAAAAAAATTTATTTAATCTCAAAAAATGGCAAACAATTTAAATTCAATTTGTGAAGAAAAATCTACACGATTTTTACAAATTCCTTTAAAATCAACCGAACAAATTTATTTAATCTTTTTAATTCCAACAATTATTACTTGTGTAATATATATAATTCATTTTTCTGCTGATTTAGTAGTTGCTATTCAACATTTCAAAGAAAATAATATAATATGGGCTTGTTGTACCATTATTTTCATGTATGCACCTGCAATTGCATATTTTATGTTAACTGTTTCAAGACCAGATTGGTGGATGTCAAATGATGATAAATTAACAAAGAGTATCTTTTGTTGGTTTTGCCTTCAATTTTGTCATTTGGTGGGCTTTGTTCTTTTTGCTCTTTATAGGTATTAATATTTTTTATTTAAAATTAATAATAATACTAACAATTTTCATTAATATAATTTCTAATTTTTTCTAGGTATGCAGGTCTTATAGTATTATGCATTGAAGCTATTATTTTAACTGGAAAAGAAAGAACAGAGACTTTAAATGTAGCAGCTACACCTGCAGCTATAGAATTATATTTTTTTTTACAAGCATGGTTTCAAGCAGCTCCTCAAGCTCTTTTTCAAACACATTTACTTTTTCGTGAAACATCATTTCATCAAAGTCATCAATCTGGTATAATATTAATTTATTATAAAATGTACAATATAATTTTAATTAAATTATAAATATGAAACTATTAAAAAATTTTTTTTATAGTAGTTGTAAAGGTGCTTTCTATTAGTATGTCTATTGTAATACTTGCTATTCAAACTACCTCATTTCAAAGATTTGAAAGTCAACGTATTAATGGTAGAAAATTACCATGGGCAATGTGGTTAAAAAAATATTGTGTTCAGGTATTTTAATATAAAATATTATTAAATATAATTATGCTTATAATATATTAAAGTAGTTTATTCTTCTAAAATATTTATTTAAATTTTATAATTAGGAATTTTGTGATTTTGAAGAAAGAGCTCCTTTAAAACTATCAAATGTAAAAAAAAATAGTACTTTAGAGAATTCACTAGAACAAAAAGAATCTATACAAGTTCAACATGAAGATAAAGAGCAATGTGATCATATTTCTCTTGATCGTCAAGTATCTATAACACCTCCTTTACCACCTAAAAATGTATATATTACACCACCTCCAACTCCTTTACGTGGCATTACTACAGTTATACCTTTGCCTATACCAGATGTACCAGCTCCACCAAGACCAGATTCTATTTGTACAGTTATAGAAAACTCAGATTCTGAAAAATCATTTACTAAGAAAGTATCTGTTGCAGCAACAAAAAAAAATAATACTATACAGAATTTAAAAGTTCCTCAACGAAAATATTCAACAAAAGGTTTAGAAGAAGATGATCCTATAGGAAAATTTTTAAGTTTTTTATGGTGGTTTTTTTTTATTTTAGCACGGATACTTACTATTGCTGTATTTTATGAATTTTTTCCACTTTACTTATCCATTGTGCTTAGTTTACATTATGGTATTATGTTAATATATCTTTTTTATTATACAAAATATTATGATATTATTACTTTTTTTCTTAATCTATGGTTAGGATTAGTGTATATAATTAGTTTAATTGAATACAGAATTAAATTTAAATATGCAGATAAATGGGTATTACCATATTATATTTTTGTATTAATGCAAAATATGTTTTTAACATTATCTTGGTATTTCTATTCAGATTGGGATGGATTTTGGTATACTTATGTATTTTATGTAATATTTGGAAGTATGACATTATGTATTTTATCAACTATAATTTATTGTGTTTTATTTAAACCAAAGAAACATAGGATATATACAAGCTGACAAATGCATAAAACTTTTTCATGGTAAAATATTCATTAAAATGTGATTTTACAAATGCTTTAATTTTTATATATTATATGAACATGATTTTGTTTCATATTTATACAAATTATTACATATGAAATAGAAAATTTATTAAAAATCTATATGATGAACCAAACAATGAAATAATTGACACAATTAAAATTTATATAATTACAATTTTTAAATGTAAAACAAGAACTTAAGGAATTAATAATTAGATAATACATCAAAAATATATTTATCATATCTTATAAATTAAATAACTATATTTATATGAAACATTCATAGAAAAATCTATTTAAAAAACTTTTACAAATAGTTACTAGATATGGCAGCATATTCTTTTATCTATGAATTTTATATAATGTTATTTACACTATGTATTTATATACAGAAATACATTATTGTTCCAAAAATAAGCAACAGTCTTCTAGTTCAAAATAAATAAATCGCTATTTTCATATTTTTATTTGAAGTCATTTGCAAAAAATGAAAAATTCATAAAAATAAGAAACCATAAATTTTTATGGTCAAATGAACAGTATTATATAATAAAAAAATAGAATGTATAATGTTTTCTTACTCTGGCAATTTTTTTATGAATATATATATATATATTCCGAAGTAAAAATAAATTTATTCAACCAACCAATTGTTCATTATATATTGCATATATCAAAAATATTTTTAGGAACTTTCCTAAATATTATTAATGTTAAAAATATTTTATTTTTTATTTTCTATCAATATGATTTTTACATAAATTAATGCATTGAAGATATAAAGAAAGATTTAATATTTTAAAAGAAATTTTAAAATAAAAAGAGATATACAAGATCATATCAGACTTTCGCATCATCACGAAATTTGTATTTTCAATATCTTCAATTGAAATTGTTCTTTAACTATATATATATAATATTTATAAAATATTAAAATAATCATTAAAGAATAAGAATAAAAGAATGTGATACTAAATTAATAAATTGAAGCATATTTTATTCATATGATTTTATATCTATTCGGAATCGCCAAAATGAGAAGATATATTATGTTTTGTTTTTTTTTAAATAATAATTTTTAAATATTTATTATTCGATCGAATCACTTATCACTGATTTATCATTATCTCAAGATTCCTTTGGAAATAAAAGTAAACTTGAAAAAGAGTATTAATAATATACTTGATCATAATAAACAATTGACTGGTCTCAAATAATTTGCTTATTTCGGAACAATATTGTATACATGATCCCAAACGACTTACTTATTTTGGAACAATACTGCAATAATATGAATACTTATTAGTATTAAAATATGTATATTATATATTTTCATCTTTAATATTTTATATATTAAATTTAAATACTTATCATTTTATATAGAATCGATATTTATTTTCACGATATTCGTGACATAAACTAAAAAATATATAAAATAGATCACATTATTTTGTATCTAACTGTTTAGCCTTAGTAGAAAATTACTAATTATTATATAAAGTACAATAAGATAATATCAATGAACAAATATTAATAAATGTAATTTGATAAAAAATATATGATCCCTTATACATTCATTCATATATATTCACATTATCTACTTACATCCAATCCTTATCTACACATCCTAATCTATAAAATATTTTTTTCATACATGTATATTAGAATCTCTATGAAGATTTCCTAATTGTGCTTCAAATAAAATATCATTTAATAATTTTTCAGCTATAATTCTCTGATCTAATCTCATATTTCTAAGTTTTGCTGCAACATTTCTTCCAATTGCATCAAACTCATCTTCCATTACAAATGAATTATTATGTGATATTTTTAAAAGATCAGAACATTCAGCTTCTTCTAATTTACGTCTACGAATTATTGGACTTTCAGACCATTCGCTAGACTGATCATATGCTTCTTCATTTCCTGGTTGCCAGTCATCCTAAATAAATATAAGTTCTTAAATTTTTAGAAAGTTTATCTTTTTGAATCACTATTTTAATTTTTAAAAGTTTTTAATTATATTATATAAAATTCTTGTTATTTGTATATTCTTGTTATATAAAATTGATATACTTACTGTTTTGTAACATTTTCTATATCTTCTTTTAGTTCTTACTATTTCTGGGCATTTATCTGCTGATAAATCAATATATATCATTGCAGGTTTTCTTTGATTAGATTTACATTTTATTTTATCAACCATAAAAGGATGTACTCTCTGTAGAATACTTAGATTAATGAATATAAAATAATTATTTCAAAATTCAAATATTCTAAAAATAAATAAATCTTACTTTGATATGACTTAAAAAATTTCCAGTAGATTTTAAATTTCCATTTAAATGTTTTTGACATTGTAAACATCGAACTGTTACATTACTATCTTCTACTCTAATTACAGTAAAGAATTCTCCATCAAGTATGGCAGGTAATCGAATTGGAGTAAGAGTCATACTTTGTTGAGTATTAGATTGTAATTGTGAGATTTGATTAGGTTGATCTTGTTGATGTTGCTGTTCAGATTCATGTTGTGGCTGATGTAAACTTGAAGTTTCATGATTTTCTTGATTCTCAACTTCAACTGTTTGAGAAGATGCCTGTCCATTGACTGTTTCAGATATTTCTCTCTGTTGATTTGCAGCATCAATCATGCATGTATCAAAACTTTGAATCTTTGTTTCATACCTTTGTGTAGAAAATGTATCCATGATTTTATAATTCATGCAAATTTACTCTAATATAAGAGTACATTAAATAAGAAGCTTAGCAATTTATACAAATTGTACATGAATAACTATTTAAATGTCTAAAAAAAATAAGGAACCATTATTTGTACTGACAGTGAAAAAATACTATTATAATATTAAAATACTATTATTAATCTTGCTTTCTTATTGAATTTCAGATAAGATGCTAGATAAGAATGTTACATATATAATAAATCTAGATCAGATAATAGATAAGAGAATATAGTATAGAACTACAATCTAAGAAAATTTCAGTAACTACCAACCAACCTTAGAAAATATGGCTACAATGACAATGTGTAAATTTCTTGTATAATACAAAATATTCTTACAATGATAAAGTGTTTGTTACATTTCTTGAAGTAGCGTAGATATATAATTGTTTGAATTCAATAAAAGTTCATTATTTTGGAAGCTATGGTAAGAATAAAGCATGCATGTATAAAATCAAATACTTGGCAGCACTGTGGTAAATAAAGTTATGAATAAAATTTTATAACAATTTAAATAAATTTATAATAATAATATATAATTTATAATAATAATATATATTTATAATAATAACGAATAACGTGAATTTCTATTTTTTACTTAAATAATTATATTTAAAAAGAAAGAAAAGCATTACATAGAAAATATATTTATTATAAGCAAGCTCAAATATAAAATAAAAATAACAAAAATAATTATATAAATATTATTTCTTAAAGAAATTAAATTATATATAGAAAAATTTTTATTCTGTTCATTTTATTTCATGTTTAATTAAAAATAAATAAATTAATAAAAATATTATTTAATTTTGAATAATTTCATAAAAATTCGTGCATATTACATATTATAAATTCTATACTTCACATTATCAAATATTATATTAATAAGAAAACATTCAGTTAACCTTTATAATTTACAGGGTATTTTTATAAAATAATGTTGTCAGCATTGATAATATATGTTCATTATGTTGGAAATATGTAAGACGTTGAAAAATAAGTACTATTCATATTAAATGTGCATATTTTACGAACAATTTGTTTTTACTTGAATATATTTGATTATAATGATTTTTTATTATTACAAGTGTGTGTTATATAATATTTATTAAAAAAATAAAGCATCTAATTACAATATAACAGAATTTAATAGTAAAACGAGATTACTTTTACAAAAATATGTCTCTATCTTGTTCTGGAGAAATGAATGAGACCAAAGAAAAACAAGATAAGTTATTTTCAAAAAAAAATCTTGAAGAAGAAATACTTAAATCAAACTCTTCTAAATCTAAAGAATTTTCTAAAAAACGAAAAAGAGAAAATGAAGCAGATGATACAAGTTATTTAGAAACTAAACGCTCTCAAATTCGGAAGCATTCTCCAGATCCAAAATCATCTAAAAGTGAAAAATATGATATTGAAAAAAATGTAAATGTAAATATTATATTGTATATATGTTAAATTTCTGAATTACTTTATTTATTATTTAAATCATTTTTTAAATTTATATATTATAGATTAATAATACTTCATCAGATTTACGTATCAATAATAGTGAAAAAATAAAAGAATCATCAAGCAAAAAAATACACAGTGATAATACATTATTAGTTGTAGAACATTATAATTCAGTAGAAAATAAATGTGCTGCTCTTAGAGATAAAAGCAGAATTTTATATATGAGGAATTTTAATAATTGGATAAAAAGCATGCTTATATGTAAGTTTTTAATTTATAAATAATTTTTGTATAACAATTTTTGATTTGAAAAATTATTTACAGTTGAATATATTAATAAAACTCATGGACGTAATTTAAAAGTATTAGATATGTGTTGTGGTAAAGGAGGAGATTTATTTAAATGGAGAAAAATGAATGCAACACATTTAATTTGTACTGATTTAGCTGAAGTAACTATGCAACATTGTCAAGATCGATACAAAGAAATGTTAAAACGAAATTCTGAAGAAAAAAGATGTTCTCCTATATTCACTGCTGAATTTATAACAGCTGATTGTACAAAGGTATTTCTTTTATCTATTTTATTAAACTTTCTAAAAAAGTAATTAATATGCTAATAAAATAAAAAATAAAAATTAATATTTTAAAATTATACATCCATATTAATGAATTCACTCTATATTTTATCAATAGAAATTAATTATAAAGAAAATTTTCAGGATCATTTAAGAAAAAAATTCAAAGATCCTAGTATATCACTTGATTTGGTTAGTTGTCAATTTGCATTTCATTATTGCTTTGAATCATTAGAACAAGCAGAATGTATGATTAAAAATGCAAGTGAATGTTTAAAACCAGGAGGTCATTTTATTGGAACTATTCCAGATGCATATGATTTAGTGTATGTTTATTTTAATATGATAGAAATATTTTTAATTAAATTTATATAAAATATATTTAAAGTTTTTTTTTATTAGTTCTAGGTGGCAGAAATGTGATGGTGACAGCTTTGGAAATGATATTTATAATGTAAAATTTTTTTGTGATAAAACAAAACCACCACTTTTTGGTGCTAAATATCATTTTCAGTTAGAAGGTGTTGTAAATTGTCCAGAATTTCTTGTTTACTTACCTGTATTTCGTAAATTAGCTTTAAAATTTGGTTTAAATTTAGTATTATTTGAAAGGTAAAATATTTATTTTATATCTATTTTACATTTATTGTGTTTAATTATGTACAAAAAGAAAATTTTATATTATAGATTTGATAGTTTTTATGAACGTATGAAAAATGAAGGTAGAGCATTACTTACTAAAATACAAGCTTTAGAAACTTATCCACCTCGGAATGATGTATCTCTTGTTGGTAAACCTGAAGATTATCAACATATCAAAGAATATAATATGAAAGGTTCATCAATTGGCACTTTATCTCAATCAGAATGGGAGGTTACTTGTTAGTAAAAAATTACTTTATATGATTCAATAATTAAATATATTTATTAATATTTTATTATATTTATAATAATATTAATTTATTTTGTTTTAGCATTATATGCTGTATTTGTTTTTCAAAAAATGAAAACTATGTAGACAATAAAGAACAATAGTAAAGCAAAATCAGTAAAGATTAAGAAATATAAAATATTACTTTCCTGGCATAAAATTATTCACTAATTTTATATTATATGAACTAGTCTATTATAACTATAGAAATAGGAATATAATAATCACTATAGTAAATAGTTATTCATTATTTAATATGATCTCTTTTAATAATTCAATAATGTATTAAAGAATTAAATGTGTACAATATACTTTATTGAATTTTATTTTATTTTAATTATCTTTTTATATAAAATGGAATATCAATTGTATTATGATTGTATAATTTTTTTTATCCTAATCTAGATATTATAAAAATAAATTTATAAAATTTTAATATATAATATAATCTATCAATCTTTGAAAAAAATTATACTTTTTTAATTACAATGTATATGTAGTTTTTTATTATTGAATTGTTTAATGATATTTTACTTGAATAAATGATAAATATCAAAAGTAATGGAAACACAAATATTTATTTTTAGTATTATTATTACATCAAAAGTCATAAATAATCTATATATTTTTTAAATTATTAATATTTAATAATTCAATTACTGATTTATTATATTATTTAAATAAATTAATGATATTTTAATACGTGTCTTTTGCACATATGATGAATCTCGTCGATATTCGATTTTATTTTCAACGATTCACAGACGTTTACTTATAATTGAAGTTTGTGATAACTAGGTGAACAAAAATTAAATATTTCTTTTCAAAATTAAAGCGACTTTCATCGAAAAGGAAACACTATCCATGCATTAACGAATATTTTTATAAATTTTATTTGTAAAATCATAAGCGTTTATAACGAACATCGTTGAAACAGAATATGATTGAATAGACAGATATAAACTGCGGGGCGAAGGGTTATATTGGAGATCGAAGAGGCGGAGCAAAGGAGCGCATGCGCACTTAGATATTTTTGATACTTAGACTGGGTCTCTTATACGATCTAAGCGTAGGCTCGGTTGCAGTCTCATGCGAAGTGTATAGTGAATACGACTGAGTGGTGTGTGTGCCCCCAGTCCTCTTTACTTCTCTCGCTTCTGTTAACCCTCGCGTTGCCAGAGTCTATCAGTCGCGTTTGTATGAGAAATGGAGCTTGAACAAGCAGCAACGCAGTCGAATTCCGACTCAGTAAGTGACTATTTAGTAATTATTTGCTTTATTGTATTTACCTACGTGTACAGTTTTTTAATATTTTATCTTATATCATCGCTTTTCTCTTGTGCGTACGACATAGCCGCGGATGCAAAATTTTTCTAAGTCCCAAAATGGCGTCTGCGACTAAGTCCTACCTGGCTCGCTTCGCCAGACGTTAAGTCCGACAGAAGAGTAGATGGTTATATATCATGTTACACTCTTATTAAGCTCATATTTTGATATGAATTTAATTGTTTTAGGAAAAAAAGATCAAAGAGAATAGCAATGTGACTGGAAATCATAGTGGTAAGCAGTTTATTCGTACAGTTTAATGTACGCACTCTGACATAGCTAAATCGAAATTTTACAGCAGCAAATGTTAAGTTCGACGCGACGACCAAAGAGTTGAGGCTGCTAACGACCCGACCGGTCTGACACGTGTTTCGACTCTGACGAAGCGTCTGAACTACTTATGACTTCCTGCAATTCAAATTTAATTTCTTTTTTGAATTTGCATTTATTCTATATATATTGTAGGAATTTTTATTAAAATTTTTTAAAGTAAAATTTATGAGAGTTTTCTAAATTTGATTTTTTTAAATATAATTATAAAATAAGTAGAATATATTTTAAATTCTATTGGCTTTATTTATACATTAAAAATAAATGTTATAAAATATAATTCTAATAAATTTAATTAAAAATTATAAATTAGATCTTATTTGTGTTTATTAATTGTACAATAATTATTTTATTTATATAATTACTAATACATAAAATTATTTTTTTAATAAAATTTTTTTATATTAAATTATTTATGTATATATTATATTTTATAAATAATTATATAAATAATATATATGATATACATATCTATATAATGTTTTTAGATACTCATATAAATGGCATGTCAAATGGATTTGATAAAAAGAGGGAACACAAGTCCGAACATAGAGATAGAGACAAAGAACGATCTCATAAATCAGATCATAAAGACAGAAGCAAAGAAAAAGATAGAAATCATAAAAGTGAACATAGGGATAAAGAAAAAGACAGACATAAACATAGTTCTAGTTCTATTAAAGAAAAAGATAAACATGATACTAGCAATAGTAACAAGGATAAAGATAAGGATAGAAAAAGTAGCTCATCATCAAGCAAGGATAAAGAACATAAAAGTACCAGTTCTTCAAGCAAAGATAAAGAAAAGGATAAAAGTAAAGATAAAGAACATCATCACAAATCTAGCTCTAGTTCTAGTTCCAAGGATAAAGACAGGTATAATTTAATACTAATAAGTAGTAATAATTTAATAATTTTATATTTAATTTATAATATAATTTATGATATAATATAATATAATTTTGTTTATATAAACGAAATTATATAGGCATCACAGTAGTTCAAAGGATAAAGAGAAAGATAAAGATAAAAGCAAGGATAAGGATAAATATAAACATAGTTTAAGTTCAAGTTCTCGAGATAAAGATAAAGATAAAGATAAAAATATTTCTAAAGATAAAGATAAAGAAAAAGAAAGAAAATTAGAAAAGGACAAGGAAAGACATTCCACATCTCATACAAATGACAAAGAAAAGCATCGTTCTTCTGAGAAAGATAAAGACAAACATAATTTATCAAATAAAGACAAACATCGTCATGATAAAGAAAAAGATCGACATCGTCATGACAAAGAAAAATGTAAGTTGGAATATAAAATATAAATTTAAATATAACTTTAAACTAAAACTTAAAATTTTTTATATTATTTTTTTTGTCTAATTCATAGCAAAACATAGAGAAGATAAAGATAAAAAAGACAAAGAAAAAGAAGAAATTAAAGTAAAAGAAGAAATAATGGATGTCAAATCTAATCACATAGGAAATGAAGAATTTCACTATGATATTAGTCAAACTATAAAACATGAAGTGAAAGAAGTACATATATATATATATATATATATTTTTTTTTTATTTATATTTTTTTAAAATTATGAATATTTTAAAAATAAAATAAATTTGAAATAATAAATTATATTTTAGGAATCCGTATCACAAATTGAACCAGAGGATGATGATGACAGTGGTGGAGAACAACCATTATATATTAAAGAAGAAGAAGATGAAGAAGAGCCCGTTAATGAAGAAGAAGGTAGTATGGATTCAACTGATGGAAATGACACAAGACTTTCAGATCTTCATAATACAACAATTAAAACTGAAGAAGAATCAGATGAAGATGTGCCATTGGTAAATCAAATTTATATAAAACTTTTAAACTTATCTAAAAACTTGTTATAATATAAAAATTATATAGAGTGCAAGATCGATGGCTCCTACAAGTATTAAACGAAGTCTAGATTCAGAGGAAGAAGAAGATGTTCCACTTTCAGCACGTAAAAAGTCTAAAAAGAGCGATACGAAAACAAAGAAAAAAAAACGAAAATATGAAGATGATGAAGATGAAGACGAAATTGAACAAGTAATGTATTTCATATTTTAATAATATATTAATATTACAGAATTAATTGATTTTAATAAATAACATATAGAAACCAAAGAAGAAAGGTGCAAGAACATCAAAGGGAGAAAATTCGAGTCCCAGAAAAAAGAAACAAGAAGAAGAACAAGAAGTTTGGAAATGGTAAAATCTCAATCACTAAAATAATTTAAAATTCCCGCGAAACACAATTCATTTTTAATATGAGGTTATGTTATATAACCTTATTCCAGAAATACATTCTTTGATTTTTCATTCATTTTAAATTCAAAAAAAATATGATATATAAACATACATATATTCTTAAAATTAAATCATGAATATTAGTAATTTCAAATTAATATTTTCAACAAATTTATATTTTATTTATAAATATATGTATTCTAAAAAATTGCTTAAATACTTATCATTTGTAAGGTTAAGTATTTCTTAAAAAATTCTTCATTAAAATTAATATAAATTAATATAAATAAATAAATAGAAATATATAAAAAATTGCAGGTGGGAAGAAGAAAAAAAAAATGATGGAACAAAATGGACATTTTTAGAACATAAAGGACCGGTATTTGCACCTCCATATGAACCACTTCCTCCTGATGTAAACTTTTATTATAATGGAAAAGAAATGAAATTAAGTCAAGATGCAGAAGAAGTTGCAACATTTTATGCACGCATGTTAGATCATGATTATACTACAAAACCTGCATTTAATAGTAATTTTTTCCATGATTGGAGAGAAGTTATGACTGAATCAGAAAGGACAAAAATAATTGATTTAAGTAAGTGCAATTTTAAAGAAATACATGCTTATTTTATTCAAAAAAGCGAAGAAAGAAAAGCAATGACAAAAGAAGAAAAACAAAAAATAAAAGAAAAAAATGAAGAGATTCAAAAAGAATATGGTTATTGTATTATTGATGGACATAAAGAAAAAATAGGAAATTTCAAAATTGAACCTCCTGGTTTATTCAGGGGTCGTGGTGAACATCCTAAAATGGGTAAATTAAAAAAAAGAGTTATGCCTGAAGATATTCTTATTAATTGTTCCAAAGACTCTAATATACCAAAGCCACCATCAGGTCATAAATGGAAGGAAATTCGACACGATCCTAATGTTACTTGGCTTGCATCTTGGACAGAAAATATTCAAGGACAAGTAAAATATGTTATGTTAAATCCATCAAGTAAACTTAAAGGAGAAAAAGATTGGCAAAAATATGAAATCGCTAGAAAATTAGCACAATTGATAGATAAAATTCGAGCTGAATATAGAGAAGATTGGAAGAGTAAAGAAATGCGTATAAGGCAAAGAGCTGTTGCATTGTATTTTATAGATAAATTAGCTCTTAGAGCTGGTAATGAAAAAGATGAAGACCAAGCAGATACTGTAGGTTGTTGTTCTTTACGAGTAGAACATATTACATTACATGAGCAAAAAGATGGGAAGGAATATGTAGTTGTATTTGATTTCTTAGGTATGTTGTAATGAAATTATAAATTTTTTTTTATTATCTATCTAAATTATAATACATAGAGAAAATAAAAATAAAATATATTCATTTACATATAAAATTAAAGAAAAATGAAATTTTAATATATGCATGCAATAATACTGTATTTGTAGGTAAGGATTCTATAAGATATTACAATGAAGTGCCAGTAGAAAAAAGAGTATTTAAAAATTTACAACTTTTTATGGAAAATAAATCACCAAGTGATGATTTATTTGATCGTCTTAATACAACTGTTATGAATAAACATTTGAACGAATTAATGGAAGGTCTCACTGCTAAAGTATTCAGAACATATAACGCTTCATGGACATTACAACAACAATTAGATAAATTAACAAATCCTGATGATACAGAAGCGGAAAAGATCTTATCATATAATAGGGCAAATCGAGCTGTTGCAATATTATGTAATCATCAACGTTCAGTGCCTAAAACACATGCAAAATCTATGGAAAATCTTAAAGCAAAAATAGAAGCCAAAAAACAAGCTATTAATGATGCAGAACTTGCTGTAAAGGATGCTAAACGTGATGCAAAACATGGATCTGTTAAAGAAAAAGTGTATGTAATTGGTAATTTTATTAAAAATATTATTATATATTAAGATTAATAAATGTTCTATTTTGTATTTGCCATTACAGTACATATGAAAAAAAGAAAAAAGCTCTTGATAGATTAAAAGAACAGTTGACGAAATTGGAAGTCCAAGCAACAGATAAGGAAGAAAATAAGGAAATTGCACTAGGCACTTCCAAATTAAATTATCTTGATCCTAGAATTACTGTTGCGTGGTAATTAAGTTTGATTTTTTTATTGCATATTAGATGTACTAAATATATATTATATTCATAAATATATAAAATATTTAACTTTTTTATATTATTTAGGTGTAAGAAACATAATGTCCCTATTGAAAAGATTTATAATAAAACTCAAAGGGATAAGTTCAGATGGGCAATAGATATGGCTGGACCTGATTATGTATTTTAACCCTATAGAAGATTGATTATTACAAAAAATAACTCCCATTGAGATTGTATTTAGTGAAATTTTTGTTAAAATTGTCGGGAAAAAGTAATGGTATAATTTTCTATATTTACAAAAGATAAATGTGAGAGTGCGGAGACATATTTTATATAGAAAACTACATTAAATTTCGGTAAAGACTTTATATTCAATGTGTAATGGACACATACTCGTAGTCTAGAATTGATCGCTTAGCAAATATTGCATAAAAATTTTAGCGATCATATTTGAATATAGAGGTTTAATTGATCTTATAAATACTAGAAACAAAAATTGATAGTTTGACAAAAATTAAAATTCTTTAGGTAGAAATTTATAATATTTGTGAATTAAGAAAGCAAGGTTTGTGCAAGTAATCTAAATTTAGAGAATATAACTCAGAGTTAACTCCATTAAAACAAAAATTTTACAATCTCTAAATTTAGAAATGCACAATAAACAAGGGCTGTTGCATTGTACATAGAACTATGCATGAAAACTTTGCCAGCCAATTAAAAGAAAAATATATGTGTATTAGATCTATTAAAACAAATCTGCCGAATGAGCAGCTGATTTTATATTTCTTTAATTTGTCTTTTCTTATGAATGTATAGTGTCATCAGTGGAAAGTTATTTGTATTATGCATTATAGCATTCTAAGTAAGAGCTTTATGCTCCACATGATTTATTTTTAGCATAAAAAATTTAGTATATCAAAATTGTGGTTAGCAATTTGATTTAAATATATTGTCCCAAAAATAATTAAAACATACTAATGTATTTAAAAATAGATTATTGCTTTTAGCAATTTATGCTTTATAAAAAAAATGTTTAGATTATAATAAATGTAAACACAGTGTATCCTTAACATTTTTTTAACATTTGTACACTTAAAAACCTTGTGATCACCACGATATAAAATATTGTAAAAGAAAATTACCGATTTCAATATGTTAGAAATTAATTATCATATTCATAGTCATAATTGAATCTTGTTTGATTGTATCTATTATTATCATTTTTAGTATTTACAAATCTATATTTAATAGCAAAATACTCAAATTTATTGCAATATTTTTCAAAATCCTTTATATAATATAAATCATTTGTATATCATAAAAGATATTCTATATTTAAAGAATATCTTTATTTATGTGACTAATGGGACTCAAATTATAATTAATGTTTGAGAGTATGAAACATCTTATTTTAATCTATTATAACTAAATCACATCTAGAATAGATCAATCTATTTACTTATTTATCTTGGAATACAGAGCAGAGACGAGTAACTTTTTATTAGCTTAGATGATATTCACTTTGACTAGATTATAGATTTTATAATAAATATATCATTTTTTCACGAAGACATTTATTCATCTTATTAAATTTAGTATTAATTACTCGTCACTGACAAGATATTCCTACAACACCGTTTTATGCATATGAACACAAACGATGTTTTACACTCATACTTATACATAAATATATGTTTAAAAAAAACTGCAATGGTAAAATTATATATATAAATATGTAATTAGAATGGTGGTTCTTTATAACTTTTGTTTTAAAACAATATATTATAAAACAGATTAGTTTAGTTTATTTAAAACTATAGAATACATACTAATACGCGTTTTAAGAAATGTTATGAAGTTATTAAAGGCCACTATTCTTATAAAACTGCCAATTATGTGAAAAATCGCATAATTTAATCGTCTGCTATGCTACAAACTAGTTTCTGATATCTAAATAATTTTGGTCATTTTAATTTTCAATTTTTTTCAGAACTAATAATTCGTTTATTTCAAACAACTTATTATTTAAAATAGATTCTTATAATTATATAATATTTTTTTATAATTTTTTTTTTGAACATTAATAATTGTAAACATTTCTGTAAATGAAACTGGTACTGTATATCAGACTAAATTAACTTATACGATGATCAAGTAGACTGAATTTAAAATATATATGTGCGTATATGTATCGCATTATTCTTAATTTACTTAAAGTCATTTGCAATATAAAAATTAGTAACTAACATGGTATATGAAATACAATCAGTAAGTAGGCCTCTGATATCATGCACATAACATCAAATATAACATTTTTAACTTTTACAAGAAGGGAAAAATAAAAATACAATCGATATCTAGTACAATGAAGTGTGCACAAATTGAAGGTGTATGTATATTTAAGTCATTATCCGATTTCTATACGATACTGGAATAATAAAACTTATAGTGCAAAAAAAATTGTTGATTTATTAATATATTCACCTTTTTTTATTATTACTTATATATTTTCATATAATAACGGAATTAATATTATATAATGGAACACAAAATAGTTAAAAATATATTACGCAGATATGCTTTATTTTAATGTGAAAAAGAATCAGATGATACTCTACTTTTATTGGTTTATTAAAGAGCAAGATACAATAATATAATAATATATTACTGTAGTTAGTGTGTAATGATAGTAATAAATTATTAATAATTTAATTCAAATAATCATGTAAATTTGTAATAAATATTAAAGATGTAAAAACATACAAACATAACGTTTCATATACGTGTAATACAATTTATATATAATCTCAAATCAAATAAATATTCCTTTAATATATTTCAAGCCAGAAAATAAAGTACATAAATAATATGGTTCACAAATGCATAATATATACGCCAAAAAAATAATACAATCAAATGTTAATTAAAGAAAATGAAAACATTTGTAATTTATATTCTGGCTAATGAAACATTTACAATACATAATATAAACTTTAATTGAAAGGAGAGAATAAAAACTACTGTACAGAAATATAATTTTATATCTAATAATATATAAATTATTGGATTATTTAAATATTATTATTTAAATTTATAAAATTTGTTATGCAATATTGCAAATTACCATTAATTATATAAAAATCAATATAAGAGCAAAAAACTTTTCATTTCATCTCTCCATACAATTAATACAGTACCATTGTTTAGTATATAAAATATAAAATTTTGATTTAGGATTTTTTTTTTTTTTTTTTTTTTTTTTTTTTTTTTTTTTTTTTTTTTTTTTCCCCTTCAATTATATTAATTCCCCTTTTTTTTTTATAAAAAAAAAAAATTTTTTTTTTTCACTCCCCAAAAAAAATAAAAAACCCCTTTTTTTTTTTTAAAAAAAAAAAAGGGGTTTTTTATTTTTTTTGGGGAGTGAAAAAAAAAAATTTTTTTTTTTCACTCCCCAAAAAAAATAAAAAACCCCTTTTTTTTTTTTAAAAAAAAAAAAGGGGTTTTTTATTTTTTTTGGGGAGTGAAAAAAAAAAATTTTTTTTTTTTTTTTTTTTTTTTTTTTTTTTTTTTTTTTTTTTTTTTATGTCACAGCAGAATAATTACCAAAATGGTAGTTCCTATTTTAATACGATAGACTAGACTATTCTAAATCACTATTTTATTACGATTATTACACGTAACAAAATAAATATTACACATCAAAAAATTGAAGCATTTTTTAAATGTTTATTTGAGTGATGTTAAATTTTTATTTATATCAATTAATATTTATTTGTTAGGAGAATTATATTTTCTATTATTTCCTTGTTTTTTAATTTAATTTATTTACTTAATTCATTCAATTTTAATTGAATTATCAGTAAAATAGCTATTTTCTAATTTCAAAAAATTCATTGAATTATTAATTAAATTATAGAAGTATATTTTTATGAGTAATGCAATTTAATTTATCACACTAAAAATATAAAAGTCCTTTACTGTCTTTCATAAATGTTTATATCAATTATTTCAATTCTAACAATAATAGTAGTAATAATGATAATAGTAGTAATAATAATGATAAAAATAATTTTTTCCATCACTACTGCACGTACCCATAACACCAACTAAAAATATTTTATTGTAACTTGTATTTTGATTAATTAAAATTAAAGAACTTTTCAACGAATTTTATAAATTTGCTGCATAAATATAACAATAAAAAAGCATAAATGCTTATTAGAATATTATTTAAAAAAAAATAATTAATTTTAAACACGCACAATATTATTAAATATTAGCGCATATCTCAATATTTATACTAGTCACTTTGTATTGCTATAATTGAATTGAGCAATACATGTTGTTACTCATAAATTATTATGTATTGCAATGAACTCATACATATTACATATTTGTTCATTTTAGAATATTATACAAAGTTTTGAAAATTTATCACAATACATCGAGATAAAAACCGATGTAAATTAATACATACAATTAGATGATCAAAATATTAAATTATGTAATTTCATTCTGGATCAGTTTCTCCTTCTCCAATTGTCAATACTGTAATAAGACCAGCAGCTGCTACCTTAGCTTTATATGTTTCCGGTTCGAACCAGCGAATCGGTTCCTGTAAAATAAAGATAATACTTAATTACATAATGATCATTAAATATTATTTAATAAATATTATATTTTACACATTACCTTTTTATGATGTTATGAGGAGCATGCTTTGAAATCGTAAAGCAGATGTTAAATGGTTTATGTAAGTACATGCCATTTTAGTGACACAAACATTTTCCAATACAATAATTTTTAAGAAAAATAGGAATTTGTTATACTTTCATTACAATGTATATATCACATGATTTTAAAAAATACAAAGTAAAAATGTTTTATTATTTTTAAAATTTCATAAATGTTATACAATAATATTTATAGTATAAATTGTTTTTAATTTCTTATATGATATATTCAATACTTCTATTATATTTCTCAAATAATAAAAATTGCAGTAACTTTTTTTAATTCATTTAATATTAATCATTTTTTGAATCATTTAGATTTAATATATATTGAAAACTATACAATTACCAAACAAATTATAATATTTATGAAATATAAAAACAATTTAAGAAAATATAAAATTTAAGATTATATAATGTATAACAAACGCAACATATGATATATTCGCTTTTCAAATTATTAACCAATTTAAATTCAAAATAAAAAAAGATAAACATTGAGATCATTTCATTTTTAATAACACAAAAAAAAAGAATATATTTAAAAAAGAACAACTTTTTATAGTTTATCACATACATATTATAAAGATCTAATTTCATAACAAACATATTATACTAATATAACAAAATAGTAGTAATTATTAATGTATTACTACAATTTGAAAAGAAATTATGTTGCTTTCAATAAAAAAAGTTATTTAGTAACACAAAAAAACAAATCATATATATAATCAATTTTCTAAATAATACTGATAGAATAATATTTTTGGTTAAAAGCATAAAATATCACAAAAATCATTATAGTGCTACATTAAATTTTTAGTTTAAATACGTACATTTTACGTATAAGTCTAGTAATATATGTTTTTATATTATAGATACATCACTTAAAATATTGACTTTGCAATTTAACAGAAAAAAAGTAAATTTAAAATAATAAAGATTAATCTTTTTAATAAGAATCAATAATTATTAGATAGTTATAATTTTCGAGAATTGTCTGTAAACTAATAAAAGATATCTATTTTTTTATA